ACTAGGGGTGTATCATACTGGGGTATCATTCTCTAAGAGTCTCAATCTCTCGGAGCACTGTGCCCTGATAGTCTTTAAAGCACGTAGAACGACCGGGTTTATCGTCCGAAACTTCTAAAATAGGGACATTAGAATGCGCCTTTACAACATGTACGTTAGACCTGGCCTGGAATACTGTTCGTTTTTATTTAGCCGCATGCGTGCTACTGAGCGGAAGAAAATAGAATCCGTTCAACATTTTTTTTCCAAGAGAGTTTTAACCCCGGAACAGCGATTTTTGTCTTACCAAGAACCAGTACTATATTGACGGGACGAGGTTAGAAACTGTGGAAAGACACAGAGATCTGGGTGTATGGACGACCACAAATCTATCGCCATCAGAACACTGCAGAAAGATGGTCCAGAAGGCAACTAGTACTCTACACTGGATCAGACGTGCATTTAAAATATTTCCTCCTGAACTCTTCGAACGACTCTTTGGTGTCTTTGTAAGACCTCATCTAGAGTATGGAATGCCAGCAGCTTCACCATGGATGAGGAAGGATATCAACTTACTCGAACAGGTGCACCGCATTTGTAAGACCTCATCTAGAGTATGGAATGCCAGCAGCTTCACCATGGATGAGGAAGGATATCAACTTACTCGAACAGGTGCAACGCAGAGCGACAAAGATGGTCGACGGTCTAAAGCATTTGTCTTATCAGGAGAGGCTAAATTTGCTTGGCCTATTCCCTATCTCTTATAGACAAATAAACTGCAGTCTACCCTGGACGTTCCGGATTGTTCGCGGCCAGGGTTGCTCATTAAGGGCAGAGGACTTCTTTGAGTTCGCCCGTACAAACCAACTACGCGGCCATGCATTCAAAGTCGGGAATGAGCGAACACGTTTAGACCGACGAAAATTTTCTTTCAGCCAGCGGGTTGTCAGGCCGTGGAACTCGCTTCCAAGCGAGATGGTGACGGCTGACACAGTTTGTGTGTTTAAAAGAAAACTTGCTCGTCTAGTTTTCGACAGAAATCGGCTTGTACAGCATGACTATGCTCAGCCAGTTTTGTAAAATCTGTCATATACAATCTTCCGCACCAATTTGCAGTGACCCCATGCACTACCTTATGATTACGATTGAACTGTGACCCAATCACATTTTAAATGCCTGCAATTTTATTTTATTTTTGAGCATGAATCTGCGAAAGCACTGTACATTAATAGGGTCATCAAGGGCTCTGCCTGTAACCCTTAAATATACATACATACATACATACCTACATACATACATACATACATACATACATAATCGGCTTACTGGCCTTGATCCTTTATGGTTCCGTAGATTACAAAAGGAACTATTTCTGCTATTTAAATTCTTATATAATCACACATTTAACCCACTAACCTCTTTAAGACATCATGTCCACCTCCGACGTAACAATCACCGTGAGGTCTTTTTATTTCTTCCTCTGGCACGTACTGTTAAATATCGTCGATTCTTTTCTGTAAATGCAATTGCTATTTGGAATAAACTACCCAGGAATGTGAAAACTCTGCAAAATTATCCTTTATCTAGGAGAACTATTACTCGATTTTTGCATTCAGAAAAGTTGCCACAAATTTTGCGTGTTGAATTAACTGATCGACCGTACCGTAGCGATGCCGTTTCTGGTCTGTGATCCCCATGGCCGGTCACACCAGGGACAATTACTTTAGCAACATCGACAGCTGTTCTTCGACACTTCTGTTTGGACCAGTCCCAACTTCATGAAAAGAATTGGCGACTGATAATATCCGATACCGTACTACCCCCTCCCTCCCTTCTTGCCAGTTTGTGCTCAGCAGTTTTTTTTTCTCCTGAACCCTCCAAACCATAAAACCACCATCATCTTTATTTTTATGTCTTTTCGACAGGAGTTAGTTTTTCACTGCTGGCCGGATATGTGTTTAACGCTTCATTGACAATGCCTGTAAGCTGGCATCAAATAAACTTAAATTAAAATTAAAAATGAATAAAGCCGTGGTTTTCCATTATTGCGTAGCTTGTTCCAGCAGCCTATCCGGCGTCGCCAAATTCCTTTTCATCGATGAAAACAGATGCAAAAATCCGGCTTAGGTGATCTGCCTTAGCGTCATTTTTGGGTAATGCCCTTATTGTTTTCTCCCTTCAACTCCTAGACCGCCTCTTTGTTCTTTTACTTGCTCTTGATGCAGCTGAAGTATACTTTTGACTTATCAACGGCTCGTTGCATAACTCGCGTTTCGTACTCCTTCTGCGGCCTACGGATAGCCGACCTTACCTAGTTTCGCCTTGGGCAAAACTGCTCATAATGCGAAGGCTGTTTTTTGCCAAATACCTTCTCCAGAGTTTATTCGTCTGGTTTTTATTTTTTCCTCTATCCCGAATTAGCCGGGAAGGACGATTTGTCATTTGGACTCTTTCGTCGGGCCGTTTCAATGCGTAAGGTCGGTTAAAACTCCTTTGAGAGTGTTCCAATCAACATCTGGATGTCTGTTAACCACGTCATACCAGTTCACTGGCGATAATTTACTTCTTATGGCAGCAAAGTTCCCTCTCTGGAAATTCAGCCGCGGTTCGATCCTCTCCATCTCTGTTTCGGACTCTACTATGGAGTCTGTTACAACAAATATAAAAACTAAATCAACAACCATTCCTTCTGCCACTTCTATAATTATTATAACCGTTACTACCACTACTACTACTACCACCACCACCACTACTACTACTATTGGTAATACTAAAGTCAAATGGCAGTCGAAATGGATGAGTTTGCTTTGGGTTTTTTCCTGAGTTCAAAGGAGCCTGACAGTACCTAAAGGGCGCTATAATAAACCTATTCCATACTACTGCTTCTACGATCTGTACCATTGATACAACTCCTGCGACCACTGGGTGTTACGACCACGACGTCGAGTGGGGTAAGCTATCACGTGCACCACTCCTACCAATACTAAGACTCTGAAACTTGCCTTGTTTCATTTCCGAGGAAATTAATGCGCGATCTTGGAGTAAATCTTTCCTAACGGGCCTTTTCAGGCGCGCTCCAAAGTTTGATCTGAATCTTTGAGCTGAAATCCATCAGATACTGCAGTAGCTGATGGGGCGTGCCTGAAAAGGCCCGTTTGGAAAGATTTACTCCAAGTTCGCGCATTAACTTCCTCGGAAATTAAACAAGGCAAGCCGAAACTGGAGTTCATATACCAGAAAACACAAAGGAAAAGCTGGGAGACCCACTGACGAGCCGAACCCCTCGCAGCTGCGTCAGGCAGCGGCATAATATCGGCGAAACACGCGTGTCTGGACTTTTAGCTAATACCTGTGTTGTTAGTACGATAAATCATCGCACACTTCGAAACTTGTCACTACTGCTTGTTCCAACACGACTACTAGGACAATAAAAAATGCCGTGTCTGCTGCAACTAATGGTGCTACGGATGCTACCACTACGAATGCCACTACATCTAGTTCTACAAATGGTACTGTTACTAATAATAATAGTGCCGCCGTTACTGCTGCTCTTTTGGCTTCTACTATTATTTTGGTTGATAAATACAGTGCAGCAGCAACATATACTACTACCAATGCCGCCTCCAGCAATATTGGCATTATTATTACTGGTAATAATGGGAGTGGTTTTGGCACAACGACCTCAACTAAAACAGCAGCAGCAACAACAACAACAACAACAACAACAACAACAACAACAACTGCTACTACCCTTACTCTACTACTATTATAATTATTACTACTACTACTACCCCTAATGTGGCGCGACTGGCTTGCGAAGACGTGTAACGAAAACCGATGCGAATCAACTGCAGCTCGGCAATGGGGTTGAAAAGGGGTTATACGAGTGAAGCCAACTAAAAAGCCGTAAAAGCCCGCTCAAGTCATGAAAAAAAGCCAAATATTGAACAATAGCCAATTATACTGAACTACAGTGAATGTGAGAGAACGCCACAGGTGGGAGATGGAAAGAGAAAAACGTGATACTCGGATTACAGCCAATGGGAAGACCGAATGACAAAAGTGGATGGTACAGCCATCAAAGGACAAAGATATGGCGGCAGACGGTAACGATGACTACCAAGAAGCCGTCGGGAGACAAGGATGAGCGTCAGCGGTTATGTGCAAGTGAATATCGGCAGGCAAAGTTTTATTACAAATTGAAGTTTGTGAAATTGTTTTAATCGGCCTGAGGTGCAGGAAAAGCACATCTGTAGGTTGTGGTGAGGTACCTGACTAATTTACCTTTGTCAACGTAGTCCCATTTTCTTTGACCGCATTGCATGTTTGAATGTGACGAGAAACGACACACCTGTACAACCCGCCTAGCTAGCGTGCTCCTCTGTCGTGGTCCGTTGTCAGTTTTCTTAACGTTCAAAATCTCCATATTATTCACTACTCCGATTTACTTGCTGCATTTAAGGCTAGGGGCTCGTGAGATATAACTCGTTAGTTCGTGAGAACATTACCTTTTTACGACATTGATGACTCCCGACGTTAACGCAGATTATACCTTTCTGTCATACTGGATAACATTTAACGTACTATTTGTTTGTAAATATCTATTCTATTTACATATACTTTCCTCACGAATTCTGATATTTTGCCATCTCTGTCTTATTATGTCTCACTCCAATCAACAACTTGATGCCCCCGCCCAGTCTGTTCATGCAATCAATTTTACCTTGCCTGAATTCTGGCAACACGCTCCAGAACTTTACTTCATTCGCATAGAATCAGCCTTTTATTCTGCCAACGTTACCAAGGAACTAGCGAAATACCACAAACTTGTGGAGGTCCTCTCCGCTAGTGTCATCTCTCAAGTTCAGTCCTTGCTAGCTAATCCTCCTGCAGATGCTCCTTACTCCACGTTAAAGGCGGAAATCCTCTGACTTAATTCTGTGTCTGACCGACAGCGGTATCACCAGTTACTTAAGGAGGAGTCACTGGGTGACCGGAAGCCTTCAGAGCTTCTACGTCGAATGCGATCTCTCCTTGGAGACATGCAAGTTGACGATAAATTTGTCAAGGAGATGTTCTTAGAGCGTCTGCCCGCAGATGTTCAACCAATCCTGGCTTCCGGCTCTCAAAACCTTACGGTCTCACAGTTGGCTGAGATGGCGGATCGAATGATAGAGGTGCAGCGATTCCAGTCACCTTCTGTTGCCCAGATCTCATCATCTTTATCGTCAGTGAATGAAAATCTAGCGAAACAGGTGTCGGCCATAGCGGATGAGATGGCCTCCCTTAAAATACAGCTCGCCCGCCTAACTTCCAGTCGCTCACGCAGTCGTCGTCGTTCTCGGTCGCAACCTCGGACTGCGGATACTTGCTGGTATCACACTAATTTCGGCGTAAAGGCCCATCGCTGTTCCTCACCCTGCTCTTTTAAACCGAAACAGGGAAACCAGTCAGCCAGAAAATAGATGCGACCGTTTTCTCTAGCTCTTCCGGCACTGGTCGCACCTTCTATGTTTGCGACACTGCGACTCGCAGACGTTTTCTGGTGGACACTAGAGCACAAATCAGTGTTGTTCCCCCAACTGCAGCTGATCGTCGTTTCCCTAGCCCTGGTCTTCACCTCCAAGCTGCTAACTGTTCCCCCATTCCCACTTTTGGCAGTCTGTCCTTAACCCTGAACATTGGCCTTTGTCGGTCATTCACATGGATCTTTGTCAATGCTGATGTCCCTCATGCAATCCGCGGCTGGACAATCTTGCCGACTTCGATCTCCTTGTTGACTGCCGACGTGCCCGTCTCCTCGACCGCACAACAAGTCTGTTTGTTCGTGGACTAACTCCCTTTACTGCCCCCACCAACTTATCTGTTTTGGATACGGATATTTCTAGTCCTTTTCGTCAACTGCTTCTTAGTCACCCCAAAATAATTAACCCCCAGTTTCGCAGTGGTGAGGTTCAAAATGATGTTGTGCACCATATCCGCACCTCAGGTCCTCCCGTGTTTGCTCGACCGAAACGACTAGCACCGGGACGTTTCCAAGCCGCAAAGGCGGAGTTTGAACACATGCTGCAACTGGGAATAATTCGACCCTCCGAGAGCCCTTGGGCGTCTCCACTGCACATGGTGCCCAAAGCAACATCAGGCGACTGGCGACCCTATGGCGACTATCGAGCCCTCAACAGCGCTACCATTCCTGATCGGTATCCCGTGCCTCATCTTCAGGACTTTGCTGAAGCCCTTTTCGGCAAAGCGGTTTTCTCGAAGATTGATCTGGTGCGTGCTTTTCATCAGATTCCAGTTGCCCCCGAGGACATCCCTAAAACTGCCCTCACCAGGCCCTTCGGTCTCTTTGAGTTTGTCCGCATGCCGTTCGGTCTTCGTAATGCCGCCCAAACGTTCCATAGGTTCATTGATCATGTCTTACGTGGCCTTCCCTTTGTGTACGCCTACATTGATGACCTTTTGGTGGCCGGCCGGAATGAAGAAGAACACAAAGAGCATCTTGCCTTGGTGTTTGACCGCCTCGACAAGTTTGACGTTGTCGTCAACCCCTCCAAGTGCGTGCTGGGTGTACCTTCACTCGAGTTCCTCGGCCATCAGGTCGACTCTGAAGGTTTGCGTCCTCTCCCCTCCAAGGTTGAAGCAGTTCGTAATTTTCCTCCTCCAACTTCCAAGCGTCAGTTACAGCGATTCCTCGGCATGGTCAATTTTTACCGTCGGTTCCTACCTAACTGTGCTGATCTCATTTTGCCGCTCACCAACATGCTTTCTGGTCCCAAAGGTCCCCTCGAGCTGACTGCTTTTGAGAGAATCAAGAATTCCCTTGCCGATGCCACCTTACTCACGCATCCCGCTCCCGAAGCTCAGTTGTCCCTGATGGTAGACGTTTCGACCGTAGCCGTAGGTGCAGTCCTTCAACAACACCTTGCTGGTTCGACTCAACCACTTGCCTTTTTCTCCAAAAAACTCTTACCAGCTGAGACACGCTACAGTACCTTTGGCCGTGAACAACTTGCCATTTACCTGGCTGTGAAGCACTTTCGGCATTTCCTTGAAGGTCGTGACTTCACTGTTTTCACTGACCACAAACCGTTGACTTTTGCACTTCGTTCCCACTCCAACAAGTACGATCCGAGGGGAATCGCCCACCTGGACTACATCTCCCAATGCACCACCGACATCCGCCACATTGATGGCACGAAGAATGAGGTGGCTGATATGTTGCCTGACCCTCACTGTCTTCCCTCCAACACACACGGGATCGATCTTTGTGCCATGGCGGCTGAGCAACAGCGAGTCGGTTGCCCTGGCGACGAGTCTGTTAGTGGTCTCCTACTCAAAGACATTCCTCTGACTACCGGCTCTGGTAACATACTTTGTGACGTCTCAACTCCCTTCCGTCGCCTTTTCGTGCCCGCCTCGATGCGTCGAGCTGTATTTCAAACTTTGCATGGACTCTCCCACCCTGGGATCCGAGCCTCTCAAACGCTCCTCTCGGAAAGGTTTGTCTGGTCTGGCATGAACAAGAACGTCAAAGCTTGGGCTCGGTCGTGTCTGAGCTGCCAGAGCAACAAGGTGCTGCGTCATAAAAAGTCCCCACCAGACACTTTCCCCAGTCCCGACGCACGGTTCAGCCATGTGCACCTGGATGTCGTAGGCCCCTTGCCTCCATCCAATGGTTTCACCCACCTGCTTACCTGTGTCGATCGATATACTCGCTGGGCTGAAGCTATTCCTTTGCCGAATACGCAGACTGAAACCATCGTGAAGGCCTTCGTCAGGCGTTGGGTCGCCATGTTCGGTACCTCATCCACGTTTACGACTGATCGTGGTGCCCAGTTTGAGTCGGCACTCTTCCAAACGCTACTCAATTTCTTTGGCTGTACACGCATTCGGACGACAGCCTACCACCCAGCTGCCAACGGTACGATGGAACGTTTCCATCGTCTGCTAAAGACTGCCCTGCGTGCCGTCGAAGACCCAGGAAACTGGTTGGACAACCTTCCTCTTGCACTCCTCCGCATCCGCGCAGCTCTGAAGTCGGATCTGGGCTGTAGCGCAGCTGAATTGGTTTTCGGCACTACCCTACGACTGCCAGGCGAGATGATCACCCCAATCTGTCATGGAGCCGACGAGAATCCTGACAATCTTTTGCACCGTTTGCGGGAATTTATGCGCTCGCTTTCCCCGGTTCCACCTCGAACTCCAGTGACTGAGTCTTATGTCGAAAAAGACTTGGACAAGTGTACTCATGTGTTCATCCGGTGTGACCGTGTGCGCCAGCCTCTGGAATCACCATACAAAGGACCGTTCCGCGTGCTCGGAGATTATCAGACGTCAATTCCTTTCATAAAGTTGGGGATAGTCAAAGTAGAGGCGTTGACGAACAGCTGGCGAGACCGGCCATAGTGTTCAGAGACCACAAACGCCATCGCTACGGTAGAATCGATCAGTGGATTCAGCACCCAAAAGTTGTGGGAGATTTTCTGAAAGCAAAAATAGAGTAATAGTTCTCTTAAATAAAGGATAATTTTGCAGCGTTTTCACACTCATGGGTAGTTTATTCCAAATAGCAATTGCATTTACAGAATAGAACCAACGATATTTAACAGTACGTGCCAGAGGCAGAAATAAGAAGACCTCACGGTGATTGTTACGTCGTGGGTGGATATGATGTCTTGAAGAGGTAAGTGGCTTAAGTGTGTGATTATATAAGAGTTTAAATAGCAAAAATAGTCCCTTTTGTAATCTACGGAACCATAAAGGATCAAGGCCCGTAAGCCGGCAACGTTCTTTGTAAGACAAATGTCGGTGTTCCGGGGTTAAAATTCTCTTGGTAAAAGTGTTGAACGGATTCTATTTTCTTCCGCTCAGTAGCACGCATGAGGCTAAATAAAAGCGATCAGTATTCCAGGCCTGGTCTAACGTACATGTTGTAAAGGCGCAATCTAATGTCCCTATTTTAGAAGTTTCAGAGGATAAACCCGGTCGTTCTACGTGCTTTGGAGACTATCAAGGCACAGTGCTGAGAGAGATTGAGACTCATGGAGTATGATACGTCCAGATCCTTGATAACCCCAGGCACATTTATGTTGTGACCGTCAATAATTAATTGAGGTTGGCGGTCGTCGTCAACCACCATGACTGAGCAGTTATGCCAAGAGAGAGAAAGGCGCCATGTGCGGCACCACTGGGCGAAAGCCTGTAGATCGCTCTTAAGGAGCTCACGCACGATGTCGTGATCTGCCGGCTTATATCGATATGCAACTTTAAGATCATCGGCATACATGAAAGGCTTACCATTCTGAAATAAATCGGGTACATCATTAACGAAAAGGCAAAATAAAAGCTGGCCGAGTACAGTTCCCTGAATGACTCCACTCCTCACACGTGTGAGGTTGGAGATAGTATTGGAAATCTAAACGCGTTGTGTACGAGTGTCCAGGTAAGAGGATATAAAATTCAAAAGTTCGTCACCTATTCCGAAAGAGGACAATTTCAAGAGAAGAAGAGCGTGGTCAAGACGATCAAAAGCCTTAGTGAAATCGAAATACACATTGTAAAGTGCAAAACCATTGTCCCTAGATTGGTGAACATAGTCAAAGAAAGAGAGTTGACAGGTGTCACAAGATCGAGCTTTGAGGAGTCCATGCTGAACCGCACTCAGTAGGTTATTCACTGTTAAGTGACACACCGTCTTATCTTTCATCAATGTCTCTAAGATCTTCGAAACTGCGGGGAGGGTGTTTATTGACCGAAAGTCATCAAATGATGTAGATTTGCCGTGCTTAGGAATGGGCAAAATGTGTGATTCCTTCCACAAGTTAGGATAAGTTTCACTTTCAAGAGCGACATTAAATATCTTGCATAGGAGGGATGGGAAAATCGTATTTGCATCGGTCTCTAAAATGCTTACTGGGGCACCATCAGGTCCTGGACTATAAAATTGACAAAAACGCCGAATCGCAACAGTCACATCCCACAGAGTGAAAGTTATCGTTTCTAGAACTGCCCGGTCAATGGCTGGATGGTCGGAAGCGGAGTGGTCGAGTCTTCAATGAACGTTTTGGACAGGAAATCATTGAAGCTATCAGCGGTTAACTGGGCATCAACTGTGGGATTTCCGAGAGCGTCTCGGAGGATGGGATGCTGCGTCTTTCTGCGAGTTCCTATTTTTCTAGAGAAATGTTTCGAGACATTTAACGGATGGTTTTCGGTAAACTGGACCTCTTCGTCTAGCTGTTTTTCTTCAGACAATCTCTTGGCAAAGTTCCCTTTCCGTATTTTTGGTATCGTCTCGTCTTTTGCATTCGGTTCAGAATACAGTTCGTAATCCCATAAAAGTTCTGAGTGAGCATTTCTACCTAGCGGAGGTAGTCAGTAATCCTCATATATACTGTCAGGAGCTTTGGTGAAGACGAGGTCCAGACAATTAGCCTTTTGCCCCCCAAGCGCTCTAGTTACAAACAGAACGTGTTGCATGAGAAGAGCTTCTAGGGCTGTCTTTAGTAGACGTTAATCGAAGGTATACTTCGAGCACTTCACACTCATATCGTTCCATTGAATGTAGGGTGCATTGAAATCCCCCATGAGAACAACGTCTGGTCGACTGACGATCTATTTTATGCATTCCAGTACACAATTAGCTGGGTCGGGATCCGCCTACGGGGGCCGGTACGGACTTACGGCTTCGAGATCCTACGACCCTGTCCATTTATATTCAGCCAAATTGCCTCTGTGTCGTCGGAAATCTTGTCTTTCCTCTCACGCATTGTTAAGTTAGCCTACACATAGATCGGTCCTTAAGCTGCTTTCCTAACTTCTTTAAGCCTTTTGAAAGGAAGTGTGGGACGGTGGAAGAAGCAGCGATTGACTTGGGCATCTTCACTGAAATGAAATCAAGAAGACCTTCCATTTGGCACTGCAATACGTCATGGATCAGTTTGCATATTTATTTTTAAAAGATTCTGCCAATCTATGGTTATTGTAGGCCCACTTTATAATGTCTTGATAGCATTAACAATGTCAAGTTACTTAACCTTCACCGCTGGTTTTGCAGAAAGGGATCCCGGAAGACAGTAACCAGTTAATTCGAGATCACTTGTGAAAAAAGTCACGGTAGCAATTCATAAATAAGGGGTGGACGCCACTAGCAAAATCTGACCTAATATACTAACGTTTATGGTCACTGAGTAGACTAAATGAGAGCAGTTCGACAAACGAATAGTTCAGCAATAGAAGCATTTGTTCGCCAGCCGATATCTAGAGAAGTATAATAGTCTACGACTTTGTTGACATTAAATAAAGTTTCAGTGATTCCTCCAACGAAGAGGACTGTATACGCAGCTAATTAACGCTTTTCCGACTTTCGAGAGGATGGCCCAAACAACACAGATATTTCTAGAAAAGGGAGAAATTTTCAGATCATAGGGCAGATGTACAAGAAAGACCCTCCTATAGAGAAAATAACCACCGTCATGTTTTTCAACACGGCCTTGTCATGTGGGGTTATCATGTTGAGAATATAAGTCCTCCATATATTGAACCTCTCCTAGAAGTGTTGTCACTGTGAAATATATTGTGCACACGTTTTCAACTGAAGAAACAGCTGCTGGTCTACCCCAGCTTCCACGGAGTCTGTAAGCCCAGCAGCTTCCAAGCGAGTACGACCGTTTTTCTCTGTTAGATGTTTTAAATTTGTCGTCCCTCTGCACGCGAATACCGAATTTAACACCGAGCGATTCATTTACAGGAGTATTTATATCCACATGCAGTGACAACCGCAAATTAGAGAACAACGGGTGGTCAGATCACTCTTTAGAAGCATTTCTGAAGGTTCGATATCCGGCATGTATCCATACTAAGATTGTGAGAGACAATATTTTTCGAGAATTCTAATCGTGTGCACCTTAGTTTTTGTAACATGTCTCACCAACTGTTCTCGAAGTCCGGCGCAGGTTTTGCCCACCAGGATTTATACGGAGAAGGCACACCAACATCTTCCAAACGGAATGCTTCGACCTTCCCCCTGTTTGGGCAAGTGGAGTATGCGAATCACTTTTAACGACTTCACAGGAGTTCGCGTAATTCGAAGTGTGCGTCATGAACATCAGGAATGCGAGGGTTCTGTTTTGCTTTTCTTTATGAGTTTTTTTCCAGCCAAGCGATCTTTTTAGCATGCGCGATTGTAATCTGGATTGCCTCCCCGAAAATTACGTTATGAAGTATTACTTTTATCATGGTCTCTCATGGCCCCAGTTATCTTACATAGCCGAAGAGGCTGACGGCGAAATAGTTGGATATGTTTTGGCGAAAATGTAATTAAACTTCCTATCAGTTCACAGTCTTATCAGGGAAGAGGATCCGGATGACGTGCCCTATGGGCATATCACGTCGTTGGCTGTAAAACGCAGTCACCGCCGTCTGGGGCTTGCCAAAACCCTGATGACAATGGCCTCGAGGGCAATGGTCGAAAATTTTCAGGCCAGATACGTTTCTCTTCACGTTCGCAAAAGCAACCGAGCTGCCCTCTCACTTTACAAGAAGATGTTAAATTTCGCGTAATTGTCTGGTTCTGACGTCAATATCTTAGTGTGTCCGAAATTGAACCGAAGTACTATGCTGATGGAGAGGATGCATATGCCATGAAGAAGGACTTGAAACCCTTCTGGGACTTAGTAGGTTGATGTTACTCTCTCTACATTCACCTCTCAGTATGCCCCACCCGACCTACATTTCAAGGCCGAAAAGGAAAAAAATAAGCATGATTGACACTCCAGTGCCTCCAGTTCTGTTCTACCGAAGAGCTGATGCGATCAACATCTCCAGTACCCGGCCGTCTTGTATAAAGCTGTGTTCATAGTTTGTTAACAATGACAGACCGTACGATACTCGTTGTTTTCTACCTGACTTCGGCCCTAACACACCGGACGTAAAGGAGTGCGGATCTAACTATGGTAGTATCGAAACACATCACCGGTTTTTCTACCGCAATCCCATCTTAATATGTTGACCTTCTACCGCCTCCGGCCCCCACGAGGGCATCAGATTTCGCCCGGTAACTTGTGGTTGCAAATTGCTTGCTGCGCGTACCGTATCGTCAGAAAAGTCTCCTAATCTGTTAAAAAAGATGCAAGCGGACGTTTCTTTGCGCCTAAAGCACTTTGCTCCCACAGTTTTCCCGACGCTATTGTGGATGGCGCAGACAATTTGTCGCGTTAGTGTTTTTCACTGAGCTGTTACCCTTATAAGTAAACAATGAACGTGAGCTGTCGAATAGGCCACGAAACTTTATAACAGCGTTGACTTGCACACGCTTCGTCTCCCTTGGTTTGTTCAAATTTATTTCGATAAAACATGGTTTCAATGTTCACCATCAGTAAGTTAATTCGATGCACTTCGGTATCCGCCTACCGTCACATCTTTTTACATTCCGTGGTCTGTCTCGTTATATGTGCATAATTATTCCTTCAAACTTATCTCTCTCCTTATGCCAGAAAACATTTTCTAAGCATGAAGAGAGGGTTTTGCATAAATACAATTCAAACGCCTTTGAGTCTAGATATTTTAATGGTTAACTGCCCTGTCAACTGTTGTGTAAGCGTCCGTTTACCAACGCTCCGCTGTCTCTCGGAAAAATTAATGGTCGGTTTTCGTGCACTAGACTGGTCGCTTTCGGATTCTGGGGTGTTTAGTTTTGCGCGATGACCTCTCAGAGTTTTGGGGATGTCGCCTTAGAGCGACACTAACATAAACGATCTTATTTACGTACTCTCCCTTAACGCAACATCGCTCGCAGCCCTAGTACGCATTCAAATCCTTAATCTGTTTAATAAAAGCCCTAGCTGGAGCATCACGTATGACGGAAGCTACACGGGGCGCAGAGTTTTGTCAATCGCATCGACACGTAAGCCATCACTAGTCGACGACAATAACTCGTCAACCAGTGGTTTGCAGAACGCCTGCACGTCCGAAGGCTTCCCGATTCCGCAATATATACCTACGGTGAACACTTAACTTAAAATTGGCGCGACAATTGTACCTAAAATAGGCCATAACTCACGCCTAGTTTTCCAATGAATTGGTAGACCGTTTATTGCTAGGCATATAATTACTTCTACTGGACAACGCAGAGAGAGTACTAAACTGGCCTCTCAGCTGAGCTACACTTCCCAAATGTACGTACTCATCACTGTCAATTGTCGTGACCGGTACAGAGTTTGCCGCGCCCAGCAGAGTTCGTGCGTCAGCTGGGAGATCCAGAAACCACGGTCTCAAAACCTCTAAAATGTCGTTCAAGTGAAAGTGTGGCGTTTGCGAGCGTAAAGCAAGTCGACGGGAACTGTTGTAACAAGTGGCTCTGTTCGCTTGTTGGTCCGCATGCTCAGATTATCGTTTCCGTGTTACCACAGTGAGCCAAACGCACAGAGGAACCGCGTGAGCTGCACATGCAAACGGTGAGAGCTGGACCTGCTAATTGCTCTGCGTGCAGAACTGCACAAAGAATTACCAGTGATTGGCTGCGTTGACATTAGCCAATGCAATGCCACTAAGAACTGGATAGGCTCCGCTTTTACGTTTCTGAGGTATCGAATCGTAATTGACTGTCAGGCTAGCGCCGACCATACCAATGCTTGCACGTTGCTGTCATCCAAATACGTTCACTTTCAGAAATCCACCAACAATGGGGACAGACCTGTTACATTGATTAACCTAACAGTTGGCTTCCAAAAGCCAAGATTTACAAGGAGTTTCCTCCTAGGAAGATCGTCAACTCCGCTATCTGTGTGACCCCCTATGTGAGGAAAGTCGCCAAATTTGCATCCGCGCAAATTTCCTTCAGAATAAACAAGGCAAAGTGGAGGTTCTCATCAAAACGATCACGGCTTATTGGGCCTTCTCCAATCCCGGGTGAAAGTTTATATGAGCATTTTGGCACAACCATTGTTGCTGAGACTGTTCTACAGGAAAGCCACGCTAGCGATGTTTTCTGTTTTTGAATCCTTGGAAAAGCGAAGACTGAGCGTGTTCGACCAGTATTGTCTATGTCATATGGCTCTCGAGGTACGTTAATATGGTAACTAACTGGCTTACCTGTTCTCACCATGGGGCCCTGAAGAATTAGCCTACTCAGCTCTTGTTCAGGGCTGCTGAGGCACACCATTAGGGTAGCCGAATGGCTTTGCCACCGCCGTTATTAGCCCTTAATTGTCACTTTCGTGGAAGCGAGTTTGAGGCTGTCAGCTGAGAACCTGGCTAGCTACTGCTCCTCAGGACGTTTATTGTGTCAAGCATGGATGAAGCAAGCTGTAGATCGCTTAAGAGATCTACGGATTGCAGACCGTGGTAGACTCACCGAAGTTATCTTTTATTGTGTATAGGTCGGTAATTCTTGTAGCTGTCACTTGTACTGACAAATGCATGCTCTCATTACGCTAAATGAACGCATTTGTTACAAGCTGATATTTGGGGCGTAGTATACGCCGTCCTGGAGGTTCAGTCTTCAAAGTTTCGATCCCCGTGAAATTTTTCAATGCCAGGGAAGGCGTTGCGATGAGTTGACCGGTTAACGCTGAAGTCTCACCAGTTTTCAGTTTCTAACTTATCGTACAGAGAGATGTGGAGGACAACCAAGACTACGCCTACGGTAATGCCATATAATCCATTTTCTGGCCAGTAATGAAGTGCAGAATTACGACATGTGAAATTTGGTAAACTGCGTTGATTAACTAGGTTGCAAATTATCTACTCTTGGTGATCGGCTAGGATATGATAGGCGAATTACGAAAACGGTCATGCTGTGGTTCGAGGACAGCGGTTAGACAGGCAGGCATCGGCTAGTTCGAAACATGTGTCTGCCTGACGTTGGACATGAAGTCTGTACAATTAGGGATTAATGCCATCCGAATGATATACTGTCCGGGACACTCAGTGTGGTTTTAAGCTGATTTTTTCGACTTTATGCACGAATATATCAGTAAATAGCTCAGTTATTTTACTGAGGAAATATAAAATCCCCATGCCTAAAATATCCGGACTCGGCTGATTCTGTCACAAGACATTTTGCTGATAGGTCCTATTGTCTGGAATGCGTAATTAAAACCACAGGCCGTTGTGGATAAGCTGCGAGTCGCTGATAGTTATTATAATCGGAGGCAAAAAGGGGGAATCTGGTACCGTAGACATGTTACGCCAAAGAGTTAAGACAATGACCGAAGTTCGTGTGACGGTCCGCTTTGAATCTTAGTACTGGTGAGAACATTTTTGTGAATCGATTTTAGGCCGACTATCTTGTGTGCCTACCTGCATAGTTATACCTTGTGTGCTTGCTCTATAGTGCAGTGCAGGGACCCTCACCCAGTTTTTTGTCGAAAGGTCACTTTAGAAGGTTAAGTTGATTTCCAATATCTCTGTGGCAAGCAGCGATGGCTAAGGCAGTAGTACCAGACAGCTTTTCTGCAGTTTCGCGCCAATTCAATGACGCGTGGAATATGCCGCGCTGGCCTGTCAGTCAATTCAATTCATTTTCAGTTGGCTACTTGGGGCTCCACATCCTGCCGTAGATGTTTCGATCTAACTGCGGATTGCCGAAACGGATTAGATATCAGATTACTCCCGTCAACTACTTCCAGTGTATTAAATTATTGAAAAATACCAGAGCTGGAGGGCTTGTAAAATTATGGCATCCAGGATATAAGCAATCCTTTCTATAAAAAGTGAACGTTTCAGAGGAATTGCCTGTTTCCTGCAGCAAAAAGCTGCTTGGATGTCGTACTGCGAACTCGTATTTTAGGACGTTGTTGCTGTATACAGTCTACTTGAGAAAAGATTTTTTCCTGCCTCGAGGCAAAGAACCTGCTGGGACAGTTTTCGACATTGTACTAGTTTCATCCTCGGATTTTTGTTCAAAAATTCGTCCCAGTCGGCTATCGTTGCCATGCTTGCGGCTCTTCACGTTGTACCCTCTCCTGTTAATTTACTCATCACCATCCAGGTCCACTTTCTTGTCTCATCCGTAGCTTCTCGTATTCTTAATTTTATGCATGTTTTTTGCGAGCTTTCTCATGAATTCTAAAACTGTGTGTTGTTCTGTTGCGGGTTTTAATGAAAAATGTACGCCCCCAAGATTCGGCTAATCGATCCACGACCCACGGACAATCATCTCCCCGAAAGCAGCCTATCATAGATGACATTTTTTGAACTAACAAGGGGAACTGTCTTTTGATAACACAGTTTTCTTTTAGAAGCTCTTAAGGGTTGTAGTGTCTGGACGTTAGTTTCATGCCTGCGCTAACTTGAGTGGGAGCTGATAATTCGCGTCCTATATTGCCGACCTACTGCTGTGCCCGTTATTGTTAGTAATCTTGGACAACTTAGTCCTGCGACCATCGTGGGTGGAAAATTAAGTATGATTATTCGTATTCCCCAAACTGAGATTATTCAGACAGGATTGAATTTCCCTTTACCATAAACCGGTAGTACTTATTTTCAATTGATCTGTTTTCACTGACTGATGAATCACAAGGGCATTTGAACGCATAAACTTTTGCGTGCAGCGGACAGAAGGTCAGTAATGTCCGAAATCTTTGCCTTCCAGTCGTTGTTTTAATCGACTTTTAGCTTTTCTCACATTATTTATGTGGCGGGGTTGTCGTCTTTCATACCTCAATAGTTCTTCATTGTGTGACCGTTTTAGGAATTCCCCTTGGTGGTCATTTCGCTTTGTTTGCTCATTGTGCCTATAGTTAACTGAGTGAATGCCAACTAATGTC